ATTTGTGTTTTTTTCATAGAATTTGCCTTGTCGAAAATTGTGTCAGTAATTATTCCCAACTGACACCCATCAGTTGAGGGATTTCGAGACTGTGCTGGTGAGTAGGATAATAGCGAGGTCTACGTACGTAGACTTGTACATGATTCTATACTGTTGCATTTTTTGTTGCATTACGTTCAAATACCCCCACTGTACAAGGTACTCGTACTTTATTACCAGTACGAACTGTGCGGTGGGATTATTTTCCCATGCGAACTCTAACATCAGGAAATACTACGAGAACTGTACGCGTTGTACTCGTAAGTTCGTACGGTACACCCTACATACATTACGTAGCGTATTGTTTTTAAATTCAAGGGCCATCTGTTTCTAGCTGTACGTATGTACCTACGTTACTAGTAGTACCAGTTACCATAGCATACTGAATACGGACCAATACAGTACCGTACCGTACGGGAAATGCGAATACTTAGTTCCGTGCTCAGGGTAAAAACAACTGAGCAAAAGTAAAAAGTAGAAGTGCTGTACTTCGTATCTGTTTCCTCATCCAGTCGGTGTTCTCCAAAAGAGGTTCACCGTACCGCTGCCTGGCTGTTTCTGGCTCATTGCTCTTGTCGCAAAGTCCACAGCACTGCCMCTTTGTGACAACTCCCGGTACAATCATGATAGCTTTATCAACCGGAACAATAACGAGAGCACTGGCGATGCTCCACGCATTCCTTCTATTGGCAACCTTACACGGTGTCGCGGATGCCTTTTGCACCGGCCTCCAGGGCAGCTGCCACCAACCACCGCAATCCGCGGCTTCCGCCTCCGTAACCCCTGGACAAAACCAACTCTCCTCGCCTCCTTGTGCATTCCAATCATCACGGGTCGTCGTCAGTACAAGTGTCAATCACGGTAACCACTGCCGACGCCACTCCACAACACGSAGCAGAATATTCTTGGTGTCGGAGGAGGACGTCCTTGAGGCCGTCGAGCGCGCYGAAGGTCTTTGGGAAAAAGCGCTCGCTGCCCGTACCGAGGCAAACGCCCTGATCGATCGGGCCGAAGTGGAAGCAAACGCCTCCGCGGAAACGGTTAAAAAGTCCGAAAACACGTTTATGGACAAGACGAAACCAGTTTCTATGGAGCAGCTGGTAGAGGTCGACAAAGCCGCCAAGGCAAGCCTCGAAGCTACTACCCTGGTGAACGAGGCAATGAAGGCAAGTGAAGAGGCGGATCGYCTGGAAGCAGAGGCGGAAGAGGCTCTCAAAAAGAGCGAGGAAGTTCTCGATCAGCATCTGATTGATTACCCAGACTCGGCACTCGCTGACTAACTAATTCAGAGAAAAGAAATAAGAAGGGATGGCCTGATCAATTTTCACTGCCAGTACTAAGTCAAAAATTTCGACACTTCAACACTAACTGGTGCCGTCGATGACATCAGGGATGCGAAAAATCAATCATCGACACGAATCGAAGCGATAGAAAACAATAGAYTTTGATTCGTCCCGAGCAGACAAAACTTTTGGATGCTCGTTTCAGCTTTTATTACAAGATCAGTGGGATAATCCCTTATTTTCTTCGCATGCGCCTCGTGATGCTACCGAGAGGGCTGCCACTCCTTGTACTGTGCTTTYGGTTTCTTTTTTACCCACTTGCTTTGTCCCCTACCGACGCTGGAGCTGCGCAACTTTTTCCCGTTCCCATCACCGCCTTCCGACAGGTACTCCYCCCTCGCTACGGCGATCCCCTTCCCGCCCGGATGGCCCAGTTCCCGTCCGTACCTACCCTCGGTCTGCGCCGATTTTGCTGGCCGCTTCCTTGCCACACCGGCCACGTCGGTCCGGTCCAGGGCGATGCGGTCCGATTGCCGCCACAGTGCCTCCCTCCATTCCTCCGTGTCCCCGCAGTGGTCTCCCGCCCGCACGTGCTTCAGCAGTGACTCGTAGGCCCTGACCAGTTTCTGGAATTCTTCGTGGGCCTCTTCGGTGGTCATCACGGAGGTATCCACGACATCGGGATGCAGGGCCTTGGCCCGTTCTCGAAAGGCCTGCCGTATTTCGGCCGTGGTGGCGCCGTCGCCCCACTGCAAACCGAGGACAGCGTAAGGGTCTTCCTTTTTCGAGGCCTCCCCGTTCGTGAAGTAGGAACGGCGCGCGGTTGTGGCGGTTGAACTGTCGCTGGTGTTGTTGCCGATAGTGTTAGTCCTTTGGTTCCTCGAGAAAATGAGCATTTGTTTCAACGGTGATAGTGGCAATGACGGTGCCAATGAAAGGATCCCTTGCGTCGACGAGACGGATGGATCGGATTTTGCTTTATTCTCCCGAAAATGGCCGGCTTGGGGAAAACGAAGACAAAGAACSCCAGGACGGAAGCGTTTCCAAACCGTTTGAGAGGACGTTGGTATTATCATATTTTCAACAGTGTCGTTCAAGCTACGCCTGCGGGAACGCCAACGTATTAGTAGTTGTTGTGATCTACCGTGCTTGTTGTCTTTTCGTCTCGGCTGCCGCGTTGCGTAAAGCTGCAGAATTCCTAGGACACTCTGTTTTCCTTCGGATGACGACGATGGTGATTCGTGACTGACGACGATCTCTTCGGGATGATGAATTTTTTCTAGATTTTCCGATTACAGTACCTCTTTTATTTCAAAATTACTGCTGCTGGTATCAATGATTCAGTAAGAGCTAGATAAGTTCCTTACAGACGATGATGATGATTATGAATACTGCCTATGATACGTACTATTACTACTACTGTGACGTAGTAGCTAGTAGCTAATACTCGTAGCAGTAAAAGACGAAGAAAAAATGATTCAGAGATAAATTTTTCAATCAAGTTTTGATGAAAAACTTTTTGGATGGATTTGAAGAGCTCTAGCTAGTAGCACTAGCTAGTACTACTACTACTATTATGCCTTACATGACTAGTAGTAGACGTTGTTGTCATTGATTTCCTTAAATACTGTGGTAATGGCAGCAGCGTCATAGTATTTTACTAATTTTTATCAGAAAATAATATTATGCTTACTGGAAACTCAAGATACTAGGCAGTATTGATCACATGACTTCTGGCACCACTATTTTTTTCGATTGCAGATCACTGTCAGCAAATCCTGTGTGCAAAAAAAGGAAGCACCAAAATATTCTGACTGTGTGGTATCCTTTTTC